AATAATGTTATCTTACAGAGATGTAGAAAACTCAGTTTTGGGGCTAGATGACTTTGGATAAAGCAGATTCCATTATGAAAGAATGCTTGGGACTGGGATTGTTTCATTTACTTAAAGAAGTATGTAGATCAAAGCAGTGCAGTCCTGAGGGTAACCGTTCTTTTACAGCCACAAAATTACATGAATTTTCCTTAGCAAGATGCACGATGAGCTCTTTGCTTTTTGCAAGCAACACATTTTGTAAACACAGTGTTAGCCCGTGTGTTGATACCCATCAGTGGGCATGGAAGCAAGGTCATGACAAGCATCCCTTCTCCTATCTCACTGTTCTTCATTCTTAAGTTAACTTAGAAACTCCTTTCAACCTATCACTGCTGAATGAGCAATTTAGTATACAAATCCATGTGTTTTGATTTACTTTTTTTTTTTTTTTTTTTTTTTGGTTTTCCGAGACAGGGTTTCTCTTGTGTAGCTTTGCGCCTTTCCTGGATCTCACTTGGTAGCCCAGGCTGGCCTCGAACTCACAGAGATCCACCTGCCTCTGCCTCCCGAGTGCTGGGATTAAAGGCGTGCGCCACCACCGCCCGGCGATTTACTTTTATATTTAAATGCCCCTAAAGATGCTGGAGAGATGGCTCCGTGGCTAAGAGTGTTGGATGCCTTTCAAGAGGACCCAGGTTTGACCCTCAGCACCCACACGGTAGCTGACAACTGTCTGTGATTCTGGTTCTAGAGGACCTGACGCCCACTTCTGGTGTCTGTGGGCACCTCGTGGACAGTGCACAGACAAACGTCTTGGCAAAACATCATACACATAAACTAAAAATAAACTAAAATAAAGTTTTAAAAATGAACCTGAGAAGAGAATAATTCCCACACATACACACGTGTATTCCTGGCCCTGATAAAACCGCAAATCATAAAAAGTGTTATTATGTATTGTTCTGACATGCAAGACAAGAGAAGACCTCATTTCAATTCGTCTTAAAACCCGGATGGCTTTGCAAATCAGTTCTAATCAGCAGCAATGGGACAATTCCTCTGCCCTTGCTACTGTTTTCTAGTGTTGGGATGGGTCCTCTGGCCTTGCTCATGCTGGGCACGCGCTTTGCCCCTGAACCATATCTCCCAGTGGACAATCCTTTAAACAAAAGCACTTCTTGCTTACATTTTATGTACATGCATATGTGTGTGTGCGTGCGTGCGCACCATGGTACACATGTGGAAGTCAGAGAACGACTCTCAGGAGTCAGTTCTGAACCTCCTTCCACGTGTGGGTCCCAGGAACTGAACCCAGATTGTCAGGGCTGGTGTCGAGGGCTTTTACCCCTCCCCAGCCATCTCACCAGCACTGGCCAATTCTCACATAAGGGCAGCAACCTAAAATATGTAGATTGCTAGGACAGAGGCAGGTGAGGCACATCTCTAACCTATGGTCACCTGACCTAACTGACCTCCTAAGAAACAATTTATCTTCTTGTAAAAGGAAAGAGCTGAACACAGTATTTTTTAGTTAACTGTAAGTTCAAGATATACGTGGACATATACTGAAGTGTTAAATTATTACTGAGGTACTACTTTTTTTTTTTTTTTTTTTTTTTTTTTTGCTTCTGAATGCCCACAATCCCCGTGATTTCAAAAGCTGGCCTTTTAATCATGTGGTTCATGCCTCTGATACTATTTTATAATTTCAGAGTGATACTATTTTATAATTTCAGATATTTCATCTGAGAATAGCACAATGATCATTCTTCATGGTGGCTGCACATCGGCCACTCTTCACCTGGGAACCCAAGAAGGGAAACTGAAGAGTGTGCTCGGGTACCGTTCACATATTCACTTATAAGGCCGAGGAAAATGGTGTGAGATGGACTGAGAAGTGTGCATCTGCCTGAGTCCTCGCATCTGTTCCAGGCCAATCATCAAGAAACACAATCCTCTTTGGTTGGTGTTGGAGATTTCTGAATCATACTTCTAACCTCATACAATACCAAGCACTTTGGTGTGGGTATTTAATTTCTCAACATACTTCAGTTTGGAGCGTGTACAGAGGTCATGGTTTTGTACAGTGATATTGGTTACCACCTCACGAGAATGGCATATGATTGAGAAAAGGTGGCGGGACCCACAACAACCCAGAACGAAATACCAGGTACCTAGACGCAGTATGTCTCAAGAAGAGGGAAACCGGATTTCAGTACCAGACAACACAGCACCAAAGCAATGTCAAAGGGAGATTTGAAAGATAAAATAAAGGCCCAGGCAACTGGTTGTTCGGGCTATGCAGTTACAAACAGGTTAGACCGATGCCTGTCCTCGATGGGCTACAGGCTTCCTTCTGCCATTGTGGTTGTAGAAATGCGTCCATAAGGGAAGCTGCTCCTAGCTGCTTGCTGTAGCTATTAAAAAGAAAACCCCAGAATGCACCCTGAGTGTCTTCAGAATGTGAAAAAGTCACATGTGTTAATTGAATTCAGTATAAAATGTCAATGTTCTCCCCGCAATGATGACTTCAGCATCGTCTTCCCAGTGGGAACCATGTCTTATCACTCCACAAGGCTTAGAATTTGCACTAATTCTGACAGGAGCTGAAACTAGCACCCACATTTTGTTTACTCAACAGAAGGTCTTTTTCCAGAGATGGTGTAAATTGTTGTCTTATAAAACCCAATTGCGAGATCACACGGAGGTGTTTTTTTTTTTTTTTTTTTTTTTCCAGATTTCCAGTTGTATTGGTATTATTTCCATTGCTAGAGCTCTGAAAGTCAAAGGGACATGCCACCCATGGAGGCCAAGCTTGATCCAGACTGTGTCCATGCATATGAGTACTAATGCCCTCCTGGAGAGAGGCATCGGGACACTGCAAATGGCCTGTGTAGGGTGGATCACTCAACTGTCACTTATTCTCAGCACCTTGAACAGCCACGGGTCTCTGCATTCACTGTCATTCACCACAAAGAGAAGCCTCAGATTAAGACTAGGAGTTACATATGTTTCTACAGATACTCCAGGTTAAATACTGCCTCCTTTAGCTTGGGAGCTCAAGAATCCTTGCAACTGTAAGAGCCGGAAGATAGGGAGAGGGCTGTGAAATCCTGTCTCTTTTGGCGGGGCACAGCAGTGCAGCCATGACCTCACAGTGGCTGTGACTGCCTACACAAGACAGCCCATCAACAGGCAGTCACAGATTGGAAAACTATTGGCTACTAATGGATCCCTGGGGAGGGACAGTCATTGTCTTCAGTTGTATACTCACTTAGGAGCCCACTAATTCCAAACCCTGGGCCCCACAGACAATCCCAGTTAAACTCAATGTGTCTCAAAACCAAACTGAATGGCATGTCATGTGGAAAGGAGACATGTGGGGAGAGTGAAGGGATGGGAAGGGGATTAGAGAGGGTGAGGGTTCCCGTGATCAGAATGTACTCCATACTTATAGGAAATTGTCAAAGAACAAATTCAATAGCAGTTTTTTTTTTTTTTTAAAGAGTCACAAATGGAGGTTTTTACGTATTTATTGAAACAAGTTTCCAAAGGAATTCTGCCAGGCAATGTTATCAACCCACTTTGCTTGAAAAATACACTGAAGTATGTCTCTTTAAAATGTTTTTATTTTGTTTTGTTTTTTGTTTTTGAGTCAGGTCTTACATATTCCAGGCTGAGCACAAACTCACTATATGGCTGACAATGACCTTAAGCTTGGAGGAATGATCTACCTGCAGCCACACTGAGTTTATGCAATGAGAGGAATTGAATCCAGGGCTTTGTGCATGCTGGGCAAACAATCCACCGACTGAGATAAATTCTCTGTCTGTCTTTATTTTAAAATCCGATTTGTTCTGATTGGCTATCCAGCTAGAACAAATTGATAGTTTTTTTTCTACTAATAATGCAAAAGATAAATATTTTGTTTTAAGAATTCTTGGAGGGCTGGAGAGATGGCTCAGTGGTTAAGAGCACTGGCTACCCTTGCAGAGGTCCTGAGTTCAATTCCCAGCAACCACATGGTGGCTCACAACCATCTATAATGGGATCTGATGTCCTCTTCTGTCATGTAGGCACACATGCAAATAGAGCACTCAGATACATAAGTAAATAAATCTCTAAAAAATGTAAAAAAGAATCCTTGGAATTGTCATATGCTGCATATGCTGTGCTCTGACTGTATAGTAATAAAAAGACTCAGGCTCCTAGGGTTAAACCGACTGCTTGATCCATGCTCATGTCATGAGTCCCGCCAGAGCAAACTAGCTTTGTAGAAAGTTCCTGTGCTCTGTGCAGCTAGAGAAGTCCGCACAGTTCTCAGAGGTAAACTCGACATCATGCTGGTGAATTTGTTTCTCAGAGGTAAACTCGACATCATGCTGGTGAATTTGTTTCTCAGAGGTAAACTCGACATCATGCTGGTGAATTTGTTTCTTTGGGAGTTTGAGGTTATTTAAGCATATTGAGTGAGAATTTCATTATCATCTCATGAAACACTGCTTTATCCAAAGTAACAGTCCAAGACCTCAGACACTCCTGAGAACTTCTGAAGTCTGACATTGGACAGGATTAGATCCAGGTCAAAGGCCTGGGTAGTCAGCGAGGATCTTAGACAGTCCAAGAAAGAAGGAACTAGACTTCTCAGAGAAAGAGAGACAAATTCAAAGTAACAGTCATGGGCAGAAGAACAGACAAGGAATGATGACTCAGAAGGTGGCATCTGCCGGGTGAATGTCTGAGAACCAGAGAAGATTATAAATCGATTGTGAGTGTCCACAGGGGCAGGAACTCAGAGGTGTGTCAGTGAGAACGCTGGGAACATGACAGACAAACCTGTTGAGGATACACTGTTGAACACCATCTTCTGTCAGGGCATTGCACAGTCCCAGGACGGTGGGAGAGCCGGGAGAGTCTTTCACTGGATAGAGAAACCACTGTAGCCTGCAGCTCTGCCTATAAAATTATCTGCAGAGCTCAGAAGGTAAGAGCTCGGTAGAGGGGCCCCAGGGAGGCAGAAGGCACTCTGTGGAGCGTGAAGGCAGCCTTTCAAACACAGACCCCAAAGTCAGCAGCAAAAAGTTCTGTTCACTTCATCTCCCCTCGGCTTATATGTGGTTTGCAGAATAAAATTTTCATTCTGTTTCTTTTCCTGGAATAAAATACCAAGCATCCCATGAGAGCTGAGGACTCGATTTGCTAGACGGCCTTCCTGAGGTCAGAATTAGAACGCTAAGGACTACACGGGACTGACTTGACAGAGAGGAGGTTCACGGGGCCGTCTGCATTTTGCTCCAATGTTTTTAGCGCATGGATGTCAAGTAATCTCATGTAGAATGCCTTCTCTGATGACCTGATAGCCACCTCGAAGTGAAGTGCCGTGCTGAGGACTGGGACTCTTCGCAGCCCTACAGGAAGGGCTGTATCCTGCAGGAGAGACTGGAGAGCACAGTGAGCCACAGCTGCCACGGAGACAGCTATATCTTGTTCGGCCTTGACGGTCTCCATGATGCAGAAGGGTGACAGATGATCTCAGCCTGCACGCATTCCATGCCCCATGCCTGCACAGCACAGGCCAGGCCTGCGGGATGAGACGAGGTGGGAACAGCAGCATCTGAGATGTTGCAAATGGAGGCGATCTTAGCGGAGAAGGAAAATGTTGCTTCTCCCTTTAAATATTGCTATTTCTTCCACAAAGTTTCCAAAAGTGATGGAGAGGTGGCTGAGCGTGGCTGAGTGTGGCTGAGTGCATGTCTACGAGCCACCCTAGGATCTCCCGTGAGGACTGTGCACTTTCTTGCTATGTTTTCTTAGCAGGTAAGAAACAAGCTTAGCAGCTCCCTGGGATGGTGTGGCTACGAAACACTTGGCTTTGTGTGGTGTCTTTTCTATGGCATAAAGTAACGTGAGAAAAGTCCCCAGATGAACAGAGCTGACCCGTCAGAGGACATAAATAATGAAAGGACATTATCCAAAGCTGTTAGATAGTGAGGTGACCTGGAAGAGGACCAGCTTCCTGATTTGAACCCTCAGGGGTGAAGCAGAGCAGTGACGGCAAATTAAGGGTGATCAGAACGAGGGGGGAGAAGGCAGTGAGGAGGGGACAGCCAGCACCTCTGCGCTCCTGCACCCTGAGTGCGATGGCGGGCAGCCAGACCTTTCCTAGGACTTCAGTCCTTCCTTCTTCCAAGTCCACGATGTCATCTTCTGAAGAGGGGTGGTGGAAGAAACAGCAAAAGCTTCTTGTGTCTACACTGATTTGAAATTAATTAAATGTGTCTCCTCTTCATCTTCCCTTGGCAGGCCCAGCAAGTGCCCTCAGGGAGTGCGCTCTTGGAAAACATCAACACTGCTCAGATTTAGGATTCGTTGTCACTGGAAAAAAAAGAAATACAGAACAGAACAATAGCACGTTTCCAAGAAGCAAGGGAAAGGTGATCCCTGGATTTCAGAGGTGAGTCTAAACAATCAGAAAGCCAACACTGTTTATCTTATGAATTCCCAAATAAGGGGCAATTTGAATTTTATGTTCCATTGTTGAAGAGGAAATCCATGTACACCAAGAGACAATCCCTAGCTCTCCTTAAATGCCTCCCCAGTGACAGGAGAGAACCAGATGGAGTTGGAGGTTCTCTCCTTTAATTAAATCTAATCCCATTCCCTATGAATACATGCCAAATGTCTTTTCAAAAACAAACAAACAGACAAACAAACAAAACACACATGTGTTGTTTTCCCTCAAGGGTTTGTGGTCCTGGCTTGTTTTCAACCGTGCATCTTGTCAGGCCCACAGAGGGGCTAGGGCATGTTCTCTGCACCATTTAGAATTCCACCATGGGTATCTTGGGGTATGAATGATTACAAGTTAGAGACCTGGTATTTGAACATGACCATGCTGTTGGCTAATGCATGCCTTTTTTGTTTGTTTCTAGCTTGGCTATCTTTGTTCAATATCTGACTTCACAGCTTTTTCCCAGTGTGGCAGGGGCTCCTCTTGCCTGTCCTGGAGCCCTGCTTCTTGCTTCCTGCTTCTCCTCTGGGTTTGGTGTCCTCTCTACTCACATTCTAGTGCATCTCTATGGTCAGTCAACTCTGTCTCCAAGGAAGAGCATGAATGAGCACAGTGAACAGCTGTGCTCTCTCTCCCTGGCTCTCAGGTGGGTGCAGTCTACTGCAGCCTCTGACTGGTCCTCCAGATGCTCAGTAAAGCATCGTGTGTTAGCTAGGGTATACACCTGTAGTCCCAGCAACTGCAGCCTGGGAAACAGTGAGACTGTCAGAAATACAAACAGTCACAGTAGATGATAGATCAGTCAGTATATACACATACATGTGTGTGTGTGTGTGTGTGTGTGTGTGTGTGTGTGTCCTTGACAGGGGAGAGAGACATAGCTCTCTCTCTCTCTCTCTCTCTCTCTCTGTGTGTTGGGGGGGGTTCGTGCGTGCGTGCGTGCGTGCGTGCGTGCGTGTGTGTGTGTGTGTGTGTGTGTGTGTGTGTGCGCTATGGGAACAAGGGAAGCATGGAAAAGGGAGAGGAGGGCAGAACTGTATCCAATGCACTGGTGCAGGGAATACACAGAGAAATGGCTTCTATAACACAAAACTTATTAAATGTGGACAATGAATGGAATTTTCCCCCCTCTGGGGGTGTAATTCAGTGACAGAGAGCCTGCTTGCCACACGGACTCTCCAGGCCCTGGGTTTGATCACCAATACCCCCTATACACTAAAGAAGGAATCTTCTCTAAGAGTTAGGTACCAACAAACCATTATGTCACTCTGAAAACCTCAAAGTCGGTGAGCGAGGCTTCATTCCTTGGAAACAGGGTGGTGCCACAACAGTATAGCTAAGGGCCAGACACCCATCTCTGTGGAACAGAGGTCCCCAGACGGGACCTTTTCCTTTTATGGCCTTATCCAGCAAGACCCTCTTTCATCTGTAACACTGAGCTCTGTCTGACGGTTTTAGCAGAAATGGCTTTCAAAATTATTGTCAAACCAGTCCATGTTCATTGTTCTTAAAAAATCGGAAAATACAGGGGTAGGGATGTAGCTCAGTGGTAGAATGCTTGGTTACCATATGAAAGGTTCTGGGTTCCACTTCCAGCAAGCCTGCCTCCCAAAACACAGAAGAAAAACACCAGAACCTTCACTATAGCTAATACGTTGGCACTTATTCTTTCAGATATTTTTCTGTTCTAAAGATATTTTCTCCTTTGTTCAAAAATAGGATCTTAATATGCACATTGTTCTGTAATCTATTTTTCCCACTCCTGGTCACACAGGGTGGGGTACGGCTCAGTGGTGGAGCTCTTCCCGGCACACAGAAGGTTCAATTCCCAGCACTACAACCTACAGATTCGGACCTCCCCCATCTCCCTCTTCTCTCCCATTTTAGTAGCTACATAGCCACCCATTAACCCATTAGATATTTTTAAATTGAGGCTTAGGAATGTAATACAATAGTAGAGAGTTTGGCTGGCATATGCTGAAGCCTTAAATTCAATCTCCAGTACTAAAGGAAAAAAAAAAGGAAAGAAGGAAGGAAGAAAGAAAGAAAGGACAACTAGGAAAAGATGGTCAAACCAACAATAAAACTTGTCTCTAACCAATGCTTATTATAATTAATTCTTTAGGCTACTTCTAATTTTTAGCTTTTATGAACACTTCCAATCATTCCCTTTGCAACAAGTCTCTGCAAGAGGAATTTCGGATGCCTCCAGGCCCATTGGTAAACGGTCCTTCTTCTAGGTGAGAAAGCTATTATATTTACTTTACTATGCTTTTGTTTACCTTTTTATTACTAAGAAGAATATACTTTTTCAAACATTTATTGGCAATTTCAATGTCTTCTCTAGCTAAGTTACTTATTGATAAAATTTGTTCATATTTAAAATAGGTCAGTTGTCTTTCTATTGATTCAGGTGGTAAGAATAATTTGATTCATTATCTATAATTGCAAAACATTTCAGTTTTTAATTTTGATGTAATTTTTTTTGAGTCAGGGTCTCACTCTGTGGCTGTTTCTTCTGAGATTAAAACCTTCCATCTTGCCGGGCAGTGGTGGCACACGCCTTTAATCCCAGCACTCGGGAGGCAGAGGCAGGCAGATCTCTGTGAGTTCGAGGCCAATCTGGTCTACAGAGTGAGATCTAGGACAGGTACCAAAACTACACAGGGAAACCCTGTCTCGAAAAACCAAAACCAAAACCAAAACCAAACAAACAAAAACACCCTTCCTTCTTGGAGGAAAGCCAGTTAAGGCCTACCACGTTAAAGGGGAGAGAGACAGCAGACTGGTCCAGAGGGAGGTGAAACAGTCCATCTTGCAGGGAAGCTTATCAAGACTGAATGTTAACAAAAGCTTTAGGAAGTCCCCCAAACCGACCAGGTTCACTAGGCCCCTCCCTCCTCAAGCTTGTAAAGCAGAAAGGACACGGGAAGACACTCAGACCAGCCACACTCCAACCTGTTGAGCGGCCTGCAGGCTGTGGAGTATGCTCCAGGTTCCCAGCTTTTGTGAGCTGTCACCCAGGCCGGGGTGGGCTTTGGGGATTCAGCTGTCTTTGAGTCATTTCTGCTCCTATAAATAACCCTAACAAAACTCATTGGTTCACCAGCTTGAACTCTTGTGGTATCCTTACTTCGGTTTATCATCAAGCTCCCTATCTGGAGCGGGTAGATGCTGTTCACACCTCCTAAGAACGCTAGCACACAACATTAGCCTGGCTGCTTAGAACTCACTCTTTAGACCAGGCTAACCTTCAACTTGTGTGATCCTCCTGCCGCTGCCTCCCAAGTGTTAGGATTGCAGGTGTGTACCACCACACCAGGCTTTTATTTTGTTTTGCTTCTTTTCCAAACAGGGTCTTACTCTGTAGGCCAGATTATCCTTGAACTTACAGTGATCTTCCTGCTTCAGCCTCCTGAGTGCTGATTACAGGTGTGAGCGATTACATCCAGCTCTCCATTAAGGATGCCTACCTGGTTCCAGGGGAACAGTGTTAAGCATATTGTGTTCCCTGTGAGTTTTCTGGCATCCTGCCCTAGCTCACATCCTGGCTATCTGTGCACAGTCAGGTTTCCAAATGAAATGTGCACCAGGACTTGTAAGAGATGGGGTTGAACTTGAAATGGTAACTTCACATTCTTGTTGAAAGGAAAAGTATCAGCTCAGGACCCCCAAGACCAAGTTCTCAGCACACAGGAGATTTATTTGCCCCAGGGGAGCAAAGGGTAAAGAACAAGATACAAAGAAAGGAGACAGAGGATGAGGGAGAAGGGGAAGGGAGCCAGGGAGAGAGGGGGCAGGGGTCTTTGTCCCAGGGAAGAAAGGACCGCCTCTGGATGGAGAGGAGACAGATGTGGCACATGGGGAAATGGCAGTTTATAAAGGTAAAAGAAGAAACTCCATGTTAAGATGAGGTGTTTCATTTTAATTGGGCATGTTAATTAGGTGAGCCAGAGGGAACTTTTGATTGGTGGATTTCAATACTTTGAGAGCTGGACCTTCGTAGTCAGCCTCAGGAGGAGGAAGCGGCCAAATAAGGGAATAGACCTTGGGTTCTAACTTTAGGAGTGTAATCTAATGGTTTTTAGCAAGGCAGAGGGAATCAGGGAGAAGGGTAAGGCCTGCCAGAGCCGTGTTTGCCAGACCCGGGCTGGTTAGAGTCCCTTCATTTGTCTTTGATTTAGCAGCGCACTGTGGCTTCCATCTGGTCAACTCTTTCACGTCCCTCAGTAGAAGGACCGAAGGTTTAGGTCAGCAGTAAAGCATGTGCTTAGCATGTGAGAGTTTCTGAGTTCAATCCCCAGCATCAAACAATAAATTAACTAATAAGTAAATAAATTTGTGCGTATGGGGAGGGGCTTGAGTGTTTGTGTGTGTATTTATGTTGGTGAATGTAGGTGCTTGGCGTGTGTAAGTTGGAAGAGGGTGTTGGGTGTCCTGTCTGTCACTCCCTGCCTTACGCTCTTAAGACAGCGCCTCTCCATGAGTGTGACTGTGGGTTAAAGTCAAGTGTGGGATCACACCCAGCTTTTTTATGGTGTATGCTTGGCTCCAAGCTTAGGTTTTCATGCTCAAAAGTGAGCACATTTACCCACTGTACCCTCACCCACCTGCTGTACCCTCTCCTGTTCCAGTAAATAAGTGCTTGAACCTTTAAAATGATGATTTCATGCATCTTATTGTGGGTGTTAGTGCTGGGTGGTTCCCATTTTTGGGTGGCTTTTATGATAGTTACAATGTTGGGGTTCACTAACAAATGGATTCTTAACATAGAAACACTCAGTCTGGCTGAAGTTTGAATCAGGGTCCAGTTACTCCCTTGCTGCGTGACCATGGGCAAGTTAACCTTTCTTAGCTTTAATAT